TCTACGTCTAGTGTTTATTTCCTATAATAGTAAATGACCAAGGATATTCCGCTACAAAGTAAGCCTATCTGGCTTGTCTGAATTTAAATATTTAATTATTTCCTTAATGAAATTATTCTTACGAAAGATTTGATTGTTTAACACCTGTACAGTGGACACTCTTCCTGACAAAGACAGGGATAGACAAAAGTAACAACAACTAATTAAGTTCATTGCTTCTATTTGCGTATTTCGCTGCCTTGCATGCAAACGTATTTATGTGCAAACAGTTGGGGTCAAAAAAATAGGTTTCTAAACTCATACCGAAAGGAAACATAAAAAAATACTCATGTTATTATTATTATTTACAACAATTTTTTTTAATGTTATAATATGTTTTGGTCACGTGTAAAAAAATCATACAAATTATTAAAAACACCCAAAAACCTTATTTATATCTTTCATTGAAAAAATATTTTTTAAATTAATTTATTTAATAAAATCAACTTTTTGCACATGGTGCTTCAGTTTTGACCCCAAGTGTAATTGAATGTACATATGTATGTATGTGTGCACATATTTCTTGTTGCCTTTTTCTGTTGCTGTTGTTTTACTGTTGTTTTAGTTATTGTTGTTGCTGCTTTGCATATTTTTTGCAGTGGAAGCTCAACAACAAAAGGCGGCCGAAAACAAAACAACAAGAGCAACAAAACTCATCAGGCTCATCTTCATTAACTTTGCTTTCTGTCTTTCTGTCCGTTTCCCTTCTTGTACACACCCTCTTCATCCCCCCGGAACTTCTTCTTCTTCTTCCCAGCCACCCCCCACCCCCTTCTTTGCAATTTTTCTCAACCCAACTTTCTTGCATTGTCTCTGCAAAATGCGAAAAACAGAAGAAGAAAAAAAAAAATACTTTTGTTTACTCTTATGCCTTGCGTTGCCTTTGCTGTTGTTGTTGCTCTGTCGACTTCGCAGTCGCCGCTGTTTACACAATTCCACAGCCGAAGTCCACCAACAACAATAACAATAAAAGACAGCCCAAAAAACAAGTCAGAATTAATTCAAAGTCCAGATACATAATTCGATCGAGATACATATACCCTAAACTTGAGATAAAGGAAAAGGTTAAACTTGTTTTTCGAAGACAAATAAAATACAAACATAAGCAAACAAATTTTTTGTATAATATTAAATATCTATAAGATGTTTTAAGACAAATTTCTGTAAACATTAAACTAAGTATGTAAAGTTATTATTTCATTAAAAAATAAATGCTTTGATACATCCCCAACCCAAAATACCCCAAAAGTGCAACAAAATCCTAAAATATAGCGATGATGATGATAAACCAGGAGCAAAAGCGACTGAGAAATGCGAAATGGATAACCTTCAGTTGCGGCGCTGCCGACGTCAACGTCTCAGCTGGCAGGGGGGTTGTGGGGCGAGGGGTCAAGAAACAACACAACTTAATTTCTGGTAGTCAGGGACATTATTCCGCCGCTCTCTTTCTCTCTTCGCTATCCCCGCCCACGCACAAACATTGTAAACAAACGGAATTGCTTCCTAGTTGTAAATTCGCACGCAAACATACGCAAATGCACTGAAAGAAATTGAGTTTATAAAGTACAAAGGTATACATATTCTTTACCTAAAAACTGAAGTAAATTATTTAAATTAAACTGTAGTTATTATCCGTGGTATAGTCTAATTTGAAAAAAAATATTTTAAATTAAGAAAATATATTTTTTGTTCTGTGTAAAACATTCAACGCTGACTGTGCGCCTGCTCTCTCTCAGTTTTTCCATATCTTTTTTTCGCTCTCTGGGAAAGAGAGTTATTTTCCTTAATGCTCTCCCGTTCTCCTGTGCAAACAAGTGTTTGTTTGCTGCGTCGCCGTTGACGTCGGCAGAGGCAGAGACAGCGGCAGAGTGCCCCTCACCCTTAGAGAACACCACCCACCCCCACACCCTGTCGAACTTTCTTATTTGATTACTGGCAAAAAAAAAAGAGTCCCGCTCTCTGTCAAATTGTGACAAACGAATTTGTACTAATTAGCATTTCTCATGCGGCCTTCACAGTGGGCCACATTGATTAAAAATGTGCCCTTTAAACGATGACTTGCCATTTTAAGTGTCGCGCGCGCATAAAGTTCATGCAGATTAAATAAGTTAATCGTCGATGGACCCTACATGTTATCAATATGATGGGTTACAGTTCAAAAATTATGGCATGATGTTTAAAGATTTAAGAGGGCTTTAGCCTATGACTAATAGTTGATAAGATTAAATTAGTCCAAAATGCGTTACCAAAGTGATTTTTGTATTGGACATTGTGTTTTATTAACTAATTTTTTTGTGAATAAAAGCAGTCATGCTCTAAGCTTGATTGAAATTAAATAAGTAATTAGATTATAATTTTAAAAACTTTTTAAATTTAACTGCATTTTTTTTAATTATCCAATTGTTTTATTATTAATTATTGGTTTACTTTAATTTATTTTTATATCCATATTATCCATTGTTTTCAATCGAGTTTTGCTTTTTGCATTCCACTGTGGTCGCCAAAAAGTAACGGGACAACAACAATTCGCCCAAGAATAGAATTCTAGCACAGAACGCGCGAGGGAGAGGGCAAGACAATAGCTTATAGTAAAAAGGCAAGAGAAAGAAAGCAGGGGGCGTTGGAGGAGCATAAGGAGGAGAGAAGAGAACAGCACGTGAACTGAGAACTTGCGCACGAGAGAAAAACAACAGTAATAAAAACAAAAGCAAAAATACACCGCCCACGCAGCCACCAAAAACGCAATGCACTTTGACTGCGGCAGAGGAAAATACAGCGGCTGAACTGAGCCGAAGACAAAAGAATATCTTGCAAAAATTAATTAAATACAGGTGGAGAAAAAATTAAATATTTGTGTACAATTTTATATTCAATTACCAATTAAATAGTACAAATTTTATCGTACAGACGCACAGTAAAAATTTGGTACATAACTATAAAATATATTTATTTTATGTTTTGGAACATAAACATTTTTCCCGGCGCACAACTGCAATCCTAAGGCAGGCACAAAAAAAACAAAAACAAATATAGTGCAACTACAACTCAAGGCAAACCATTTAGGCAGCGCTGCGGCAGAGCGTGGGCAGCGACGCCGGCAGAAGACGGAAATACCAAGCGAACGATGACGAACGTAAAAACTACGCACCAAGCACAAAAACAACACCAAAACACGCCACGAAAAACAAACAAACAAGCAAGGAGTGCGAGCGAGAGGTATAGAGAGAGCGAGCGAGCGAGAGAGATGAAAGATGGGAGTGGGGTGGGAGAGCACCTGCCCCCTACTGTACCGCCCACTCGGCTAACGAGCAAACAAAACTAAACAAAAATAAATAGAAACCGAAACAGAAACACAAGAAAAGCAGCGAAATAGAAAAGCAGGAAATATTTCGAACTTATCAAGTGGGGAGAAAAGTGAAGACTTACAGCTTTGCATTTCTATTATTAATTAGTTTCAACAAAGCCCATTTGAGTGCACAATATTACCAAATTATTTTTTAATACACTTTGAAATTAAGAATCAAGAATAGCATTTAAAGGAGTAAAAAATTTAAACCAGTTTTTAATGTGAAACTTTACACATTGAAGAAATAATCGTAACTAATATTATTTTAATAAATATGTGACTGCTCTTCAAAGTACATACATATTTCGCGAATTCACACTCATAAAAGCATTAAATAAATAAGACAACAAGAGCATTTCAGGAATGGTAAACTCAATTATCTTTGTCAAATTTGACGACCGCTTTCAATGAACTTTCTTTTGTTTTTTTTTTTGTGGCTTAGGAATTGTACTACGACGTAGTAGAAATTTCGTTTCATTTTGGCGCGAAGCAGCTTGTGATTATGGTTTTTATTGTCACCTTTTATTTTTGCTTTTTGTGTCGACCTCGGTTCGTTCAACTCGGTTTTTTCGCTGAACCGCTCCTGTCTACTTGTTTGTTTAATTTTTTGCCATTTCTGCTTCACATTTTATTTGTTTGTTTGACTCGGCTGCGCGCGTGTCGTTGTGTGTGTGTGCGGCCCAAGAAGCGGTCCCCCTCTCCAGTCATCACCCCCTCCCCCACCGACCATTCATCCCATCCCATCCCCCCTTTTGTTGTTGCTGCCGTGTTTCTTTTGCTCTTTATCAAAACAACTGCGCAGTCGACGTCAACGCAACGTCGCAGTCAGCCTTCATACAGCAGAGGTCGCAAAAGTAGCACCAAATACCTTAATTGTTATAAAAATTCAAATTAGGTTTCTTGGAAGTCTTAACGAAGATCTAATGGGTAAGCAACAAATCGGATTTAGCAGTTTAGGTTGAGACAAATGAAGACATACACATTAACCATATTTTAAGTCCTTGTTTACATATCTGAGTGCATATTTATTTCGATTAAAACGAAATTTTAAAGGAATATTAATTAAAATCATCTTGAGTACTAGATTGTTCTTCTTTGACCGCCACTGTGTGTCTGCTAGTGTTTTTTTTGGCGCGCACTGCTCTCTCTCCAAATCTTACTAACTCTCTCCGCCGCCTCGGTCGCTCTCTCTCGCTCCTCCGCCTCGTCCCACCTCCTCGCGCAATTGTTGTTGCTTTAAGCATGACAAAGCACCGTAGAATTTCACAACAGGCCAAAGAGAACTTCATTACGATGTTCGTTTTGTTTTTCCACGAAACAACTGTTTACTCTGCCTCTGCCGCTGCCGCCTGTGCTCATTTCAATTCCTCTGCCGCCGTCGCAGCCGGCGTCGCTGTCGGTGCGTTTACAAATCGATGCCAATAGGTTTGCGACTGTTTGCCGAAACAGACGCTAACAGACGGTGCTCGCGAGCGGTTGTAACTAACGGTAGAGCTATAGTACGCCTATTGCGCGCGTAACGGGAAAAGTACGGAGCAGTAAAAGCGCAACAGCGCCTCCGAAATAGCGGTAAATATCGCCAGTGCGTGAGTGTGAGTGTGTGTGAGGGAGAAGTTTGTTTTCGCCGCAGCCTCCTTTTGTTTTCCTTTCCTCATTCGTATTGTTTGCTAAACAAATAGCGGAAAAGCAATTGCCAGACGCAGAAAATGTTCGAAATATTTTTCAAAAAGGATACTACATTTTTAAGCGATGTATCAGTGGAAAACAACTCTAAAAGTGTTTTGGAAAATAATGTTGAACTAATATTGACTGAACTAAATGTTTTAAAACTGTGTTGAAAAGTGAAAAGTTATAAAAACGTTCAAAACATGTGCAAACGATTTAAAATACCCAAAAACAATTGAATATTAAAAAAAAATTTTGAAAAGGTTAATATCAAAAATAATTGATTAAAGTTGTGTGAATAGTTACATAATATTTTAAAACCCTTATTGTAAAAATAAATACAAAAAGTACAATTTTATTTCCGAAATACGGACATAAAAACCAAGTAATAATGAAAAACTAGAACAAAACTGTTTAATAAACACATTTCATGGTAAAAATTGATCAAATATTTTGAAACACACTTAAAACCCTTGAATAGCTTCAAAAGCAAATATTTATTTGGGTTTGATAACGAAATAGCAAATAGGCCAACAAAAACCATTTTTCAAACAAATATTTCACAAAAAGTGTTTTTAAAATTTATTTCAATAACATACAGCATGTGCGTTCGCTGGTGTGTGTGCGTACGATTGTAAATTGTTTTTTATTTCATTCCGCGCGCCTTGAAATGTATTTTTAAGTTTCTGTGCTCAATTTCGCTTTGGATGTTGTTTACTTTTTGCGTTGTTTAATTTGTTTTGGCCCGTGTTGTTTCTCTCCCCCGTCTTCTTCTTTTTTTATTCAAAATGACAAAAGGCGAAAACAAACTAAATTGTGGATAACATGGATTTTATGCAAATTCAACGTTTTCTGATTCAGACCTTTTATTTTGGCAGCGATTTTAAACGAATTCAAAATGGTTGAAGACGGCTCAAAGAAATCTGTCAAATAAAGCAGGGAATATAAAAATCAACACGAATTAAAATGCTAAAAAAAACCGCAAACTAATTGATTACGTAAGTTTCAGTATCAAAAAGTGAGACCAAAAACTTTAAAATATTTTACAAAGTTCCAAATCAATAAAAGTAAAAGAAAACCTAAAGAAATTGCCAACAACACATTTAATTTATAAATAAACACCCAATAAAAACTGCCAGGCTAAGCATTTCCGCCGTGATTCACATTACAAGACAATAAAAACGGTGACATTTAGAAATTCCTGATAAAATCCGCATACAGTCCCCGAACATATTCTCGTTAATCAAACAACAAATAAAATAAAAGCTACGAGACATGCAAATTAATTTTTAGCGCAGAAAAACCCGAAATCTATAAACACAATCAATAAACGGAAAAAGTACAAGAAACACAACCAAATATAAGACCGATTTGACCGCAGAATTCCTAGAAAATCCCTCAAAACTGTGCTACTTAAAAATAACACGAGGCCGCAGACGAATTGCGATGGAAAAACCGAAAAAAAACAGGCCCAAAAACACATTTAAAAAATTTCCAATTTCGAAACAATAACGGAAAATAATTGGAAAATCACTTGAACACAAACAAAGAGCGAAAAAGTGCGTAAAAAAGGCATCGTGGCGTAAAAAACAAGTTCTAAAAATAGACCACAATGTGTCGCGTCTAAAAATTGACGCAGAGTGTGGCGCAAACAACAAAAGCAAACAACTAAACACAAACAATAAAAAGCACATGAAGACTGAACTAAAAACAAATTAAGGTTTTATCGCTCCGTCTCTTTCCAACTCTGCCTGTGCGTGTGATTGTGATTGGGAATGTGAATGTGTGTTCCGTGTGCGAGTTTACCGTTATGATTCATCCAGCTGGTTGCGCAGCGTCGCAATCTGCGCAAAAAGAAATACTTCTCGAACTTTTGTCGGGGAGACAAAAACCGATTACTAAACAATTTATTTTATGAAATTATGTGTGCTAAATCGTGTGCTAAAACACAAAGACATTTATTTACTTGTAGTCATAGTTGCGGTCAGTAGAATAGCTCCAGTTGTCAAAATCCCCAAAGAACTTTACAGTTGCTATCAGTAGTATAAGTTCAGAAAACAAAATCTTTGAGGATTTAAAATTATTTATTGGTTTCATGTTTGATATGTGGTATCTAATAAAAAGATACTATTACTATTACTAACTATTCAAATCTGCAAATATAAAAAAAAACCCTTTTGATTGTATCTTTTAATATCATAACGAATTGAGATTGATCCTCTGTTCTCTCTACGATCACAGATTGTTTACCAAAACTAAATATCCCAGATAGTATCATTAAACTATAAGTATTAGAGACATTTCATAGAAATCAGTTCGACTTCGAAATTCGGGTGTAATACAAATCCCACGCGAAATCCGACTGAGGAGATTTTGAGAACATGGTTCCTGAAAAATCTTAAGACGCATTCTTCAGAACTCTTCGTTAGCTTCTGGTATTCCGTAATCCAGTGCTATTATATTGACCGCTTTTGTGCTTCGTAAATACGTACGACAAGTACTAAAACGTAAAGCAAATTGCGCTCGTCGCCAAAACCAGGAAGCGAAAATCTACGTTCGACAAAGATTGATGTAAAAGCGAGATGCCGCATAGTATAAACCCCATGCGTTGGTGTTGGTGCGAGTGAAAGCGCACGTGTCCCTGGGTGTAGATTGTGTGTATGAGTATGTGTTTATACTGTGCGAAATACACTTCCGTCTATTGTGAATGACGAGGCGCGAGCAGTTGCCTTGCCATCTTTGTTATCGTTTGTTGTTGCTTCTGTTTCTGTTGACTTGTGACATTTACACACACGATTACGAAGAAAAAGAAAAGGAAGCAAAAAAACAACATTACCACTCACGCGTTTTTCTTGGCAGAATTTTCTCCGCTAACAGAAACTGCGACATTTTCATTTCCACATATAAAAAAATATCAGTTGCAGGTTGTAAAGTCGCCACTAAAACATTTTCCTTAGGCCTTAATTTAGGTCCTTAATTTTAACAGGTCCTGGGTTCAAACCTCAGTGGTATAGAACATATTTTTTTTATTTAAATCCATGCAAAAAAATTGTATTGATATAATAAAAATTTTAAATACTTTGGGACAAGCATTGAAACATTCGAGAAGATTTCAAATATCTTTTGAATTAAGTAAATTATCATAATCATATTTTTCCTAGTGTAAAAACAAGTTGCACGTCAAAATGCTAATGCCGAATAAAATCTGCTTTATCATCCACTGCGGACTTTATTCCACTGTATAATGCTATACCGAGCTATATACTATATATAGTGCCACTGACCTAGGCAGACGATGACGTGTTCTGTAAAAGTGATTATAAAAAATTGCTGCGGATTTATAACAGGGAATTTGCTGAATGGAAAAAGCTCGTTTCGATTGTTTTCACTGTTTGGCGAGATTAGAAATGTCGATCAGTTAAAGATCATATAATGGCGATCGTTAGATAGATCGTTGAAAACAACGCAATATCGGTTTTTGGTTTTTCCCTACACTGAGATTTCTCAAGAAGTTATGGAATTTCCACAGCATTTCAGGTGACATTTAAATGATATGGCTACGTCACGGCTACGGGTAATTTCATAATTTTGCGTCACATCATGGTTAAGATAAAATTTCGCCTAATCTACCCTTGGAGACGTCCCCGATAAGCACGAGGTCTGAGTTTATTTTTAGTTGTTGGCACAGATATTATAATAAGTTTTTTTTGGGATTATAATGAAGCTAAACAGGGTTATGGGACTATTTATATTGTGAAATTAGTTTGAACTAATTTCTGAAGTTACTGTGTTAATGTCCTCATGTTAAATTTATAGTAGACTTTAAACTTAGAATACGTATGGGAACTCAGAGCTTAAAGCGTACTTTAAATTTCATGAATTGTAATAGTCAACATTTGCCATTTTTATTCTCGAACCAATTACAAAAATCTAAGCCAAATGTTAGAGTGTTAAAATATTTATTTTATTTCCCCTTTCCGTATATAAAATTCCACTCCTCCGTTTACATAAAATGTCATTCGAAATTTATCAATTAGATGTCAAATCAAATAATAAAAATGCCAGCAATTAGCAAGTTGACTGCCACCGGACTTGCGACTATAGCAGAGGCCTATGATGATCGCTTTGGGTCTCCGAGTTTCTGGCTGTTAAGTTTGCTTTTGGCCATGCTTAGTTGTTGGCCTGAAAATTTCCCATTTCTGATTAACACCTCGCGACGCACAAATAAGTTAACAGAGAACCCCGGGACCGAATGAAATGGAATAATAATAATACCAATGACCAATGGCGATCGCGGTTCGATTGCACGTATTTGGCCGCAAACAGTTCGCTGAAAATGTTTCGAGTGGTGAATGAGTGTGTAGACTGAATGACTCATGGTTATCATTCGACTCAGGGACGGAATGTTTGACGTGCGGGAAAAACCCGGCGATAGCGTAAACAAAACGATAAATGCCGAAGTCAAACTTGTTTTCATAGACTTTAAATTGAATATTATTTAAGTTTGTGCTAAGGGAAAGTCGGTTCTAGCGTATTAAAACATACACAGGGAGAAATGATAAAGTAAAATGACGTTCTTAAATTGAGTATTTGTAGGATATGTAAGATAGGAATTTTGAGTTACAATTGAACTCATTTTCTCCTTGTTTTTCGCTGGTTTGTTCCCTTTTTTAAAAAAATTAAAAAATTTTTTTTTTTTTTTTAGTATTTTAAAGTGAGAATGGATGTACATTGTTGCATTTTCAGTGCCAAAACTCTCAATTTGAGTTTAAGTAACTTTCTAAGCTTACTCAGTGTAGAAGTTATGTTCATAATACAAAATTATTCACAAATATAATATTACTCTACCTATAAAAAGTGTCAAATTGACTAATCGTCTTGTTCTTTCTTATCATTTTAGTAAATGAAAAGTAGTAAACAAAGTGCTAAATGAAAGAGAATGAGACCCAGTCGACAGGACCCAAGAAGACGATGTTGATTGAGTGCATTTCACGTGACATTCCCTGAGAGTTTTCTTCAAGAAGAAAAGCAAAGCTCAAGTAGAGCTCTTTGGCTACTTAGATATAGATAAAGCAAGCACCCAACCTACCGATCGGCGGTTGAGAGGCGGTGTGGCAACTTCAATGAACTTCAATCCGGCCAGCGTGGTAGCCGCCGCAGCAGCAGCCGCACATCAGACCTCCCACCACCATCATCATCATCACCACCACCCGTATTTGAGCCACCAGCAGTTGCAGCAGCACCACCAAATTACCACCCAACAACAACAGCAGGTGATTCCACTGCCAGTGGGAGGAGGAAGTTTACCAGTGGGTGGTGGCAGTAGTGGTGGCGGCGATATATCGCCCAAAATCATGGAGTGGACCAACGACGATGCTCTGGAACTGATCGAGCAGTATCGCTGCCATACAGAGCTATGGAATCGAGCCGATCCCAAGTACAAGGATAAACTGTGTCGATTTCGGGCTTGGTCGGAGATAGCCGAGCGTTTCGGTTGCAGCAAGGCGGAGGTGGAGCGAAAGATGAATGTCCTGCTGACCCAATATCGGCGGGAGAAACACAAGATGTTTGTTAAGATATACCAGGGCATTCAGCCCAATCCGTCCAAATGGTATGCCTTCAAACGATTCGATTTCATGGAGGCGGGAGGTGGCAGCTTAAGCGGTGGTTCCGGCGCACCAGGTGTGAATACCTCGAGCGGTAATCTGGTTCCCAATCCCGTCTCCTCATCGGCCGCCGCTGCCGCCCACAATGGGCTGAACGGACTGGCGGCTGCAGCGGCAGCCTATGAAAGCGGTACGATTGCAGCGGCCGGAAATGGAGGAGCACCACCCGGTGGACCAGGCGTGGGTGGAGCTCCCGGTTCACAGCCCGCCATGCAGCATAGACGCATCAAGACCAAAGAGCTGAAATATTTCGGAGCGGTAAGCAGTATTTTAAATCAAACAAATAATATTTTAAATCAATAAACAGAAAACCCCCGATTTGATTAAATATTTGGAATTGCCCATCCAACATTTTCGGGTATTCCTCACATGCTTTCATTTCGTATTTTCTTATCAATGTTATTTGTTATTTAAAACCTAAAGAAAAGTATAAAATAAGCAAAAGAAAGCACATTACCTTCAAAATTTATGGGAAGACAGAGTTTACTTTAAATTTAAAATGTGAGCGATAAAACTTCCAAAACTTTTATAAAATTCTTACATTATTGTCTTTGTACAATATTTAAAATTTGAAGTATTATGTTTTCAGTTTGCCAAAAGTCTGAATTCGTAGATCTCATGCTTAAAAATGTATAAGACCAACAAATAATGGAAAATATATGTACTTAATTGTTTGACAAGACATGTGTATTTGTGTATGCCTACCTTAATAATGGTTCATAAATACTTCAAATTTCATTGAGTAGAAAACCGGCCTTATCAAATAGATTAAAAATCAAAGTCCAATTTCAGAAATGATGAAAAATTAACCAGAATTTAAACACATTTTAACCCTAGAAAGTCAAAAAGGTGAGAGATTAAGCTACGACCAAAATGTTATCGGTTTCTAGATTAGCAACAAATTTTTTGAAGAAAATACCAAATTGAAAATTTCCGACTAAGAAATAAAATCATAAAACTTTCCAACTTGGTAAAAAAAAGTATTATAAAGGGAAATGGCATTATCGTAGTGTTTTTGATTCCAATTAAATTTTAATTCATTATTTTCTTTAGAACTCTTATCAAAAACCAATTCAAAAGAAACGTTTTTATAAGCACACGTGTGAGCAATTTTTCGGCTTGGCAACCACTATTATTTATTTTACTCATTTTGTTTCAAACTCTTGGAAGCTAATCAATTTGAATATTTTACAGGCAAATAAAAAATAAAAATTTTGTAGTGCTAATTTCAATCAAAACAACGGCTTTGAGTTAACTGTGAAATGAGAGCGAGAGAGAGTTGGCAAAAGAGAGAGCCCCCACTCTCTTTGGCGCTCAGGCAAACATGTGCGCAAGTGACTTGCTGTTTTTGCAATAAGAGCGGCCCCACTCACTCTCTCTCTCTGTCTCTCTTTCTTGTTTGTGCTATTTTTTGTTGTTGACGATCAAAACAGAATTAAAATTTTACGCATAAATTTTTCTTAGAAATGCGCAGTCGTGTGTGTGTGAGGCATTGGCCCCAGCTCTCTCCCCCTCTACCCGTCTCTCTCTCTCCCACTCTCGCACTGTCTGTCTGCTTGTTGTTGGTATTTTTGTTGCTTTTATTTGCGTTGTCGCGCCAGGCAAGCAAAAAGTGTGAGGTGGAAGGGGGGGTGGTATGGGGTTTGGGGGGCCCTGACATTTCGTCGCCGCTCTTCTTCTTCTCCTTAATCTTCTCCTTCGTTTGTTGTTGTTATTATTATTGTTGTTGCTTTTGTTTCTCTGTATGATGAAATGTTTGTTTTGCACGGCGAAATGTGTTGGCGACTGCGACGTCGGCAGAGACAACGCAGCACTTGCTACGGGTATTTTTTTCGGCTTCCATTTTGTTCCGTTTGTTAGTTTGAATGCCCTCCCTCAAATGTATAAATACTTTGATGAAAAGTTTGTAACAAGTTTATAATCATCAAATCTCCAGTTCCATTAAACCTCTCAATCTCGAGATCTGCAAGGGCTACGAACACCATTTTTGGGATGCAGGCGCAAATATAAATCCCCAAAACATTTTTGAAGTTTCCTTAAGTCAACTATTAAATCATCATCAAAGTAAACCCAAAAAACATTTTTAAAATTTCCAAAATCAACTAAAAAATCCTGTTTTATAATTTAAAAATTATAGAAATGATAATAATAATTTACCATGTTTTTCAATTAAGCAAAAATCGTTTGCTCAGCATGGGAGAATATTTTATAAAACAAAACTATTAGTTTTTAAGTTTTTATTATTTTGAGGACCAATAATAAAGAATATTTAAGATTTATTAATTAAATTAAATATTCTAATTAACCCTGTATAACAATTTTTGCAGTTATTTTTCTATATCATATTAAAATCTACATTGGACTAACTAGCAACTTTGGGTCTTGAAACTCCTTTGTTTTACTGTTGCTGTAGTGACGTTTTGTTTTGTGGTTACCCAGTGGACACCGCACCCCCTCCCCCGAGTTTCCCTCCTTTTGCCCGTCGTGATTCGCTGGAAGCTTTTGTTTTTACTTGGCTCTGTTGTTTGTCAGACTTATCAAAACAAAATGCCAGGAGTTGTTGTTGCCGTTCGCCTTCTCTTCTGGCTGTTTTCGCTCGTTTTTTGCTGCTGTTTCTAGAAAACAAATGAAATTTTTGCAAGGAAAAGAATATAAAACTTGGCGCCTGGACTTTTTCTCAGTTTGCTGTGTGTGTGTGTCTGTTTTTTTTCGAGGTAGTGGGGAGGCATGGGGAAATCGGGGGCGTGGCCCAGCTAAATGCATGCAACTTGTTTGTCCATGTCATGTCACCTTTGGTTTTCTGGTTTTGTGGTACCCGTAACATATTTTGGTATTTACGACCATTAAAATAGTAGCAGTGGTAACCAGCTTTGGAAATAAACAAAAAAGTTTTTTCATACAGCTTATGATGTTAAAACATTAAAATACTTTTTATTACATTAGAATTAAATGTTAAAATTTTCAAGAAAGTATAATACAATTTGTTACCATGGGTTATTATAGGCTATTATTGCAGAAATAATAGCCATTAATTGATAAAATTATATTAAAAGGTGTATTCATTGTATAAAAATTGTATTATTATATATTTTTTTGTCCGGTATTTTTTGTTGTTATTATTCATGCAATATTTGGTCTAACAAGTTTTTGCTTATAATTTAATTCGTTAAATCACTGGGTCTGCATTTTTTTTGATTTTTCTTTTGCTCACTTTTGAGAAGACAAAATCTTTTCACACTGGACGTGCCTCCCCTAAGCCACCCCCCATAACCATTTTTTTAAAAAATGGTTTTTCTGCTACCGTTGTTTTCTTTAATTTTTTTTTTGTGTTTTGGTTTGGCTTTGGTCTCGTGTTGTTTTTTCTGCTCCTGCGTCATTATTATTTGCGTGTGCAGGCACTAACAACAACGCCCACGCCCCTTTCCAGAACGCCCACCAACGGACAGAGCTCCCATCCACCCAACGCCCCCACCGCCCACTTATTGTTATGTATTTTTGTTCATATTTTGCAATTGTTTTGCTCTGCGGTATTTTCTTCAAGACAAGTGAACAATAAAGACAAAAACAAGATGAAGCCGAAGACGAGCTGGTGTTTTTGTTTTTGTTGTTGTTTCGCTTGTTGTCCCGCAATGTTGTGGCTAGCAAACAACTCACGCACTGCCTCACATCCACCACCCGAGTATTTGCACCACATAACCCGCAAAACACCTGCAAAAAACAAATTATTTAACAAGTTATCAGCTTTAAATTATAATTTTAGTTCCAGAAATGAGCAATGTATTAAAACGCGAATTCTTCAGTTTCAAACGGTCAAGCACAACTATTTTAAAATACAAGTTTTATAAAGTAGTGAAAATGGTTAATTAAAAAGCTCCTTATCCGTTATTTTTCTAAAGGTCATCTCGAATTCTTTAGAATAGCACAAAAGTTGCACATAAAAATCAATTTTTGGTAAATGAATGATATTTTAGAGATGCTTTTAAATCATATACTAAAAGTATATTTAATATTTAGATTTTTAATTTACAAACAAAAAACATCAACTACACTTACTATTTAAAAAAACGTTTTTTTAGTGTAATTTTCTCTTGTTTGTGTTTCCCATTGTTGTTGTAGCTGGAGCGGCAGTAGCGGAGTATCAAGCTGTTGTTGTCGTTGTTGTTGTAATTCGCGTTGTTTTGTTTTCCCTTGCAATGCCTATAAACCACCCATTTCCCACCCCCGCGGTGGCGGAATGAAAAGTGCATGGCAAATAAGCAGCAACTGCGACGCCGGCAGCGAAGTCAACGTTTGTTTTTGTTTACTCATTCATTGCAAAGTTGTTTAGAGCCAAGCGCGCAGCGTATGGTTTTTTTCTGTTGTTGTTTTATACATCATGTAGATGATAATGATGATAGTGATGATGATAGGGTATAGGGTTTAGTGTTGTGGGAGGGAAATCTGGGTGGTATGCGGGTGGGGCGGAAAGCCTAGAATTCGGTGTACTTCCCCGCCGTCGAAAGTTAAGCAAGAATTTTGGAGTTTTGGGCGCATTTGGGAGTGGTAGACAAGGAAAGTTGAAGTTCGAATTACAAAAACATATTGTAAATATATTAACAATTTTGGCAAAATATTAACTTCTATCTGAAAAGATATTTAATTTAAGAAATTTGATGTGTTCTTTTAAAAAATTGGCAACCCTGGAATGCTCCCAGATAAGCGAAAACATTCTTTTTATTATTTGTACAATATTGAATATTTCGGAAATCGCTTGAAATCGCTTCCCAGAATATATGTAGATGGCAAAGCTTTTAGGGGATTAACTCTTAATCCGAGACACTTGGCAACCCTGGAATTGGCACCTGCCAGGTGACAAAGCCATCTCAAACTCGAACACACACACACCTGTGCACACCGCAATGCATTTTCAATTGCAATTTGTTCCACTGTTAATTTTACGACTCCCCGTCCAGTGTAAATCCCCCATTTTAGAGCGGGACGGCAGATGAAAGGGGGATTGGGGGTTTTGTGTGCGGCGCTTGCGCTTGCGGTTTTCATGGCAGTTTCATTAATGTTAGTGTAGCAGTTACCGTTGTTGTTGTTGTTGTCGTTGTTACTTGCGCCGTACTTTTTGTTGTTGCTGCGGTGTATGCGCTTTTGCGAAAATATCGCCATCGTACTTCAAAAACATTTGGGTGAGCAGCAGATATAGGATACAGTCGAACTTTGGTAACTTGAATTTCTTGAAATTCTTCCTTGGGGAGAAACGTGTTTTTTAAAATACCATGAATTTTACGATGTACCTATAAGTTTCATAGTTTATAAATTATTTTTATATTATTTTATAATATTCTATTTTAAAAAAATTTAATTTGAGAATTTAGTTTCATATAAATATTTAAATTATTTGAAATAAGTTATTCCTTCTGGACTTTGTAAATTTTTTTTTACTTAAAAAAGTTTAGGGTCTAGGGTCCGGATGTGTAATTTAAAGTAGGGATTAATTCAGAGTTTAAATTTAACATGAGGATGAGAAAATTGCTTTTAATAAAGCGGTGATCTATTTATGAATTAATAAAAAAAATATTTCTTTTCGATATTTACTGTGTCAGTGCAAAAGAGGTAGCTCGCGACAATTGTGAATGGGCGGCGGGCGAGGAGAAAGGGGGTTGGTGTGGAGAAAGTGGGCGGAGGAGGGGCGGTGGTGAAAAGGGGGAGGGCAGGGGCGGATTTCGTGCCAAAGGAGTAGAAGCAGCGACGACGCGTAGTTTGTGTAGTGTGTTATTTATTCATTGGATTGGATGATAATCAGTTTGTTTACATTTTTCAGTTGCACACACAATCCCAGAGAAAGAGAGAGAGTGAGCGAGCGGGCGATAGAGAGTGGGTGAGAGCGAGAGAGTGCGAGTTCATTCTCTTGTCTGTTTTATTTTATTTGCCTTAACAAAATAATAATACAGACATGCAAACACGCATATAGCGTACTCGTGCACATACACACACACAAACACTCTGCTCTGAATGCGTAAACAACAAAAGCAGCTGCAACAACAATAACAACAAGCGGGAAAGAGGCGGCACTAGTGGGGTGGCGGAAAGGAGGGGGAGGGGCCAGCGGGGCGGCGTAGTTGAGGAAACTTAAAAACAGCAGCGGAGGCAACAACAAATAAACAACCCAGGTTGAACTCTTATTCTCGGGATGCCCCAATAAACAACATTCGAATTTTGACATTTCTTATCGTTTGATGGAAAATTGTGGAAATCAAACTCGAAAAATCAAGTGGGTTAAGAAAAAGTTTTAATATTTCTAGATTTTTTAATTAACAATCAATCACTGTGATTCCAATAACTTTATGGAATTTTGTGTTTAATCAAGTGTTTTTTTGTAAATAACTTTAAGAACTTGAAGAATACGAAAAAAAAATTGATATAATATTATATGGATATCAAAAATGATCAAAGAGCCTTCTGGCTTCGTCTTTTCCGATCTTTTCGGTCCTCTGCGTTTTTGTCGCCGCTTTTTGATGGAAAGTTCTAGGCGCCATAACTCAGACAGACAAAAAAGGCAAAATCAAAGAGATCGTCGCCGACGGAAAGGGATGGCAATACCCATTGAGGGGCAGAAAGAGAGGGTGGGAGCGGAGCGCCTACTTTGATCGCCGTTGACCACATTAAACTTTTTATTGTAGTTGTTGCTGAATTATTTTCGTGTGAGACTCAAACGTGGGGTAGGTTAATGCTAATGCCGTCTCGCCTGACCATTAAAAGCCCCTCTCTATTTGTATCTCCCTCTCTGTCTGACCCGCTCTTTTGGTTCTTTCGAAAATAAGCATTCTTCAGACATTCTCTTTCTGGTCGGAAGGCGACTCTCTGCCAACTAATGCTGACATTTGCAAAAGTTTTCACAAAAGACATCGAACAACGTGGGATATTGATATTGAATCGATTTATTTTTATTGTCTTTCGATTTGATGCATGATGTAATGCTGATTCGGATTTCTATATTTCTATATTGTTAGCTTGCTGTCACTAAATCAATTTAGTATATATTTTAATGTCTATAGGGTAACTTTGTTAAAAAATACTGAATCTAGATACAATATCTTTCGTTTCTATATTTCAAAAACATTGTTTTTACCAATAGTTTTTGTCCTTTCTAAAATATCTTCTACACTTCCGATCAAATAACAGTTAATTTCCGTTTTATCTGTCTCTTAATGAGTCACCCACACAAAAACAAACAGAAACCAGATCTCTTAAAGCTTTCTCTTAAAATCTTGTCTCATCCACTCTCGCCCTCTCTTTTGCTCGGTCGCTCTCTCCCGCTCTCACACGTTATTCGGCTGTTCGAAATTTTTACTACGCCGCTAGAATAATTTCGGACCAAAATATTACGAGTTCGAGTCGCGTTGTCGTCGCTTTCGCACACACAAAACAAAAAAAGTCCAGCAACAAGTGTAAAAATACCGATCTTTTGAAAACACGTTAATCAAAATGCATTACCACAATAGTAATAATAACATAAATTTGAGATCCCCAGGGATTCCACATAGAGTTCCCCTAGAATCGGTAGCAACTACAAACACATCCAACGTAAGTTCTCTGCTTTATTTGGAGTAAAGGGTTTTTTTGGTGGGGGGTTTGTTTGGAAAGTTCGCGCACTTTGCCACCTGTATGTGTGTTTTGTTTATACCCTCCCCAAAGGTATTGTAATTTTAGTAAGAACTTTGGAACAGGTATTTTATTTCTGCTTTGATGATAATTTTATTAAATAAGACTGTATTCCAAAAAATAGATTACAAAAAATAATATGTATTCATTTATACCAACTTTAACTGCAAGGGCATTCAAAATTTACTGAAGTTAACTTTCTTTCTTGGTTATTTTTGTTGTATTTGTTGACCTGTCTGTCTGCGTGCGTGTGTCTGCTAATTTGTTTTGATCGCTTCGTGTGTTTGCCATATTGGTATCTTAAAACAAAAACAAAAACCAAAAACAACAATAACAATAACACGATCTGAACGCAGTCAAATTATTATTTATTTTACCATTATTATCATAATTTGGTCTGACTCCGCGCTCATTCGGCTTTAATTTATGTTTAGGATTTACTCAGAGCATTGACAAAAACAACTTTTGGCGGGGGGTTTGACCGGCATTGGAATGCGGTGGGAAAAAACAAAAGTAGAAAATTCTAAATAATTTCAACTCAATCGGAAATACGCCATACAGGTGTATGTTTTTGGTTGATCACAATTAGCATTATTATATGCAAATTGCTTTTGACTTTTAACGAGATATTGCAGGTATTAAGAAATACAAATAAAGTAGTCTGGATTGGGGTTTAAAAAGTGGTAATTAATAATAAAAAAAAAGACTAATTGTTTCAGGTTTAAAAGTAATTCGCTTTGAAAAAATTCAAGAAAATGTGAAGGTTTGGGAATATTATAAATGGTAATGGTAATTGTAATTTACCAAATAATAATGTTTTATTTACTAGAAAAAATATGTTCCAGAAAATTCCAACCTAATTTCCCATTTTAATCAGTTAATCTCCTATCAAACTCTAACGTGCTTATCCATCATGATTTTCCAAAAATTTGACACGAGACATCAAATAGAGCTTAGTCAGCATGATTGTATAAAATAGTCATCATTACTCTTTAGTTTTAAAATCTATTTCCTCTGCTATCTGAAGAATTTATTCGAATCACGCTTTTAGCACACATTTTAGGCCACTATCGGGTCTATTAACAGACTCCCATTCGATAAGAGATATGGTGGTAAAGATAAACAAATCTGTGTATATACAATAGGTAGTTAAATAGACACTAACGTGACCCACATTTAAATATTTATGTTGGGTCTATTAAAGCTGATTATTTTTTATAAAGAGAGAGAAATTATTTTAAATTCTATTCTTTAATATTTAAATGTTTTATATTATTATTGTATTCATTTTTAAATTTTTAGTTTTTTTGTATCTGTAAAATTACGGTTTTTTAAGTATTTGGTTTTTATGAAATTCTGAATTTTAATCGTTCTATTGAATATTACTTTTAGGGATTTTAATTTAATCTATTTATACCCGTTACTCGTAGAGTAAAAGGGTATACTAGATTCGTGCAAAAGTATGTAACAGCTAGAAGGAAGCGTTTCCGACCCCATAAAGTATATATATTCTTGATCAGGGTCACTAGCCGAGTCGATCTAGCCATGTCCGTCTGTCTGTCTGTATGAACGCTGAGATCTCACAAACTACAAAAGCTAGAAGGTTGAGATTTCCCACACATATTCTTTGGCTTCCTACGCAGCGCAAGCTTATTTTAGCCGAGCGCCACGCCCCCTCTAACGCCCACAATCGCCCACTAACGATTTTAAAATGGGTCCTGCGCCCACATCTTTAAAGATTTCCGAGAAGTATAAATGCAATTTTGTTGTGTATATTTATACCTATCGAAATGTAGAAGACATTTTTCAAATCGGACCATTCATTAAAAAGTTATACGCAATCAAAAATTATATATCTATCTCCCTCGCACTCCCTTTAACTGAGTTACGATTATTAGTCGGGACACCAACCCGACACAGCGTTCGCACTCCCTTTAGCTGAGTGACGGGTATTAGATAGTCGGGACACGAACCCGACTATAGCGTTCTCTCTTGTTTTTTTTATCAGTTTTACATTTTTCTTGGTTAGGAATCTTAACATTTTTCGATTTAATAAGTTTTTATTAAATTCTGAATTTTGAATATATCTCTTAAATAATATTACTTTTTAGGAGCGAAAAAGCTGCTAATTAATCGCTTTCCATTTAGTAATTTTATGGGGTGATTATTAGTTCTCAAGTAGTCAGTGTCGTGGAGTTTCTTATCTTGATGGTCCAATCTTTTGGACTGCGTCACGATGACGAAGTTAGGAACCTTTGAACACCCAACAGCCTGAGTGTGCCACCTTATCACTAACCTTTTTTTCGTATTCGTTCCGTTTTGTACTTCCAGATGGGCCTGAATATACCCATGCTGATAGCGAACAGTCAGACGCTGGACAGTTGGAATACGGCGGGTCAGTACTCGCCGCCGATATCGGGCTCAGGCGGTGGAGGATCAGAGAGAGGAGGAAGTGGTGGTGGAGGTGGAGTGCCCCCTCAGCAGCTGCGTGTGCCCCTGCCCATGAGCTATCATGGCGGAGCTGGCGGCAGCAGCAGTAGTGATTTCCAGCAGAGTCCCCTGAAAACCATGGATACCTCGGACAATGAGGACAACAATAATACCAAGGAGGATGTGGCGGCGGCAGCGGCATTGGGACAACTGGCTGCTAAAGTCGAGCTAAGATCGCCGTCGAGAGGAGGAAATGGAGGAGGAGGAGGTCCCGGTGGAGGAGGTGGCTCCTCCAGTAGTAGGGAGCCCAACGATCCAGTGGCCAGTGAAGCCATTAAATCGGATAGGACTCTAAGCGAAGCTGGCAGCAGTCCCATACCGAATACCAACATGCACGAGGCGCACAAGAATCACCTGCTGAACAGTCCGGCTGGAGGAAGAGCGGTTACCCCCCGGCAGGCGCACGAGCAGATGCAGATGCACCACCATCAGCAGCAGCAGCACCAGCACCATGTTACTCAACAACTGCATCATGGCCACGATGAACTGGACATCAAGCAGGAGTTGGTGGACTATTTCCATGGCCAGGCGGTTGCCGTTGGTAATCCCGCACCGCCGCCACCGCCCGAATCGCATCGTTCCTATAGCTCGGCGGGCGAGGAGAGTCGCCTGCAGTTGGTGGACATGGCCCAGGATCTGAGGGTGGCCCAGGCGAAGGCCAATTTCGGTGCCTTCGTCCTGCCGCCCAGGGGAAGTGATGCCAGCAACACACCAGCCACAACAGTCGCCATGCCCTTGAATATGCGAAAACTAAGCGGTGCCGCGAGTGCGGGTCACATGCTAATGAACTCGCTGCTCGGCTCCAGGGAGAGCATGTCGGATGGCGAGGATCCAGATCCGGATGCGGATAACGATGAGGCCACCGAATCGGCCAATAGTCCGGGTCGCAACATTAAGAGCAGTGTTTCCGCCCAGGCGGCCGTTGCGGCATCCGCCTTCTATGCCGACTCCCTGAATCGAGATGATTGCGATTTCATTGGATCAAATGTTTCGCTGAAGCTAAGGACCATGGATCGCACGCAAAGGATCATTGCGGAGAAGCTGATCAGCGAGGTCTTGTACTATGGGCAGTTTAACGAGCTGGAAAGATCGGCCAGGATACAGCCAAAGTGACAGTGGCGCCCCAAGAAGTGGACGGCTGCATTGGGGAATGGCAGTAGTAGTGGTAATGGAGCTGCAGGAGGTCTAGGCATCGGGGTGGGTCTGGCCAGGATCAGGCTGGGCGGCAGGAGCCTCCTTGCCCCGCAGCATGGCAAGTGAATTCCATTTGAAAGTCATAGTCAAAAACAGAGACAAACATAAAAAACAGAAACCAATATAGAAAACAGTACAACTTACTTTTAGTTTGGCCAGGATCGGGGTCACCACACTTGTACAAAGCTTGGGCGGAAAAAGGTGGCAGCGTTACTTAGGCGGAGAGAAAGTGGAGAAAGGGGAGAGCACAGACGAGCTGGGAGAAAAGTACTTACATACATGAAAGGGGGAGAGATGCGCGTGTTTGATTTATGATTTTAATAATTAAAATTGGAAAATGATTTATCATTTTAAAATACCTTCGTAAGTTTTTCAAAGGATTTTGTTATTTAGTACCAATTGCTAATTGAAAGGGTGTTTAAAAAATAGAGTGAAAGACAAACAATTTCCGTTTTTTAAATTATTTTAAATATTGTAAAATTAATTGCTAATAGATAAGAGGTTTAAAAAATACAGGGAAAAACAAAATTTCTCCATTAACTATTTCAAAATTTTAAGTTTTCAAATTCAAAAAAATGCATTAGCTTTAAAAAAAGTGAAAATCTGCACTGTGCAATCTTAAAATAATCATGATGTTTTAGTATATTTTTAAAAGAAAACTTAAAAATTCAAAAATGGATACAACGGAAAAAATTTTTTTTCTTTAGCGAAAGTATAAAAATCTTGTTCATACCACCATCTCTCCCTTTGAGTAAAATACAAAAAAGGCAACATAAAACACAAACCAAAGTTACTTTCTATTCTGTTCGAGAAGGGCTGCATAAACAATAGTTTAGCCTTCGTGTCCACAACTTCAATATTAAACTACATAAAATACATATAGATACTAGATAGGTTAGAACGGGTCTGGGAATGGGGTCTTCTTCGACACACCTGAGACATCTAACTAGCAGAATCTCAGTATTACTTATAAAATACACACTACATAGACCATAGAAGCCAGCAAACAGAAAAAAAAATATAGAAATGAAAGCATTTGCCATAGATCGATTCCTTGGGGCCGATCGTCCACTTCTTGGTGTTATTCTAACTGCTGATTGTTCCAGCCCGACTTTAAACCTCGCTGTAGAGCAGAAATACAAGCATACAAGTATATGTAAGAGAAAAGTAAGCAAAACTATTGTAAAGACAAGGAAAAGCGGCTGCTAAAAAGTCAAGCTCCAATTTGGGCTGAAACCACTGAAACTCAAGTTCCCGAAAAGCTAACCGTTGAGAAGGAAGGGTCTTGTGAAACCTATATGTTTTCTATAAATATCTGCATATGGATATATAATATATCATTGTACCTTATTTTGAAACAGAGATGTTTTCTTAGTCACTTAAGTCTGGTCGCCGAAAAGTCACCAATCCAAAAAAATAAACCCATCAACTGAAAGAAACCAACCAACAAACAAACAAAAAGCAACCGCAAACTTTTACCTATATATTATACAAATACTGTCGTCACTAGTTCGTTAAAGAAACAGCAAAAAACAAAAGCAAAACATTATTGTACATTTTCGTGTTTATTTTTTTTAGGTCCTAATGATTTTTGCATAATATTTAAGTAGTTTTTATTTTTATATGCAACGCAAAGCAGAGCAAAAAAACAGAAACATTGAATTAATTTATATAAAAATATATATATATATATAAATGTGTACGTATACCTAATAAAAATATGGGCAAATTAGTTAGTCACATAAACGAGAGAAAGAGATAGATGATGGTTTGAGTGGAGGATGATTATGAAATGCAGCTCGGCTTTTGCTGCTGCGTTTTTAGCCGTAGTTTTTACCGTAGCCTAGAAAAAATAAATCAAAAACCAACCAACAAAAGTCCAAACTGAAAAGAAAAGTCATGTGTAAAAAAAGTGGAAAATTAGATGTGAATAAATTAATTAATTCTGTAAAATTAGCGACAATTTGTTTGGCATCGATGTGCAAGCGTGTGTTCGTGTGTGAGTGCGTATGGAATGTAAACCAAAATTAGTTTTTCCTGAATGTGTAAGCAGCAGCTAAAAAACATAAATAAATGTGTGTACCTATTTGTCTGACAAGCATTGTAAACGCCGTGTTTCTTTTGTGTGGTTACTTGATAGTAAAATTAATTTGTAAGGGTCTGTATTTTATATTTAAAGAAGTTTTATGAGAAACAGAAATTTAAAAACTTTGAATTTGCGTTATAAAGGAGTTAAAGGTGTTTTAAAAGTTTTACAAAAATGAATTTCAAGAAGTGCGCCAAATATATCGATTGTTTCTACACTGAATCAATCGGTCATATTCTACATTAATTTGACGCAAATTTTACATTCTCCCCAAAAACAGTCTACACGCTAGAGCTTCCTTAAAATTCCGCCTGATGGCGCTTTAACTTTGGGCGCATCTGGCAACGCCGCGTTAACCCGCTGTGATTCAAATTCCTGAAAAATTGGATATTCTTAATAGCATGTTTAATGAAATTCTAAAACCGCAGTGCCAAATGAAATCTTTTTGAATGGAAAGCTTAATAAGAATGTTTTCTGTGATATCATGATGCTTTTATATTTAATGGATTGCAGCTTGGTTTATCTTTTGTTGCCCCCACCTAAAAGTTCTAAAAGTTCTTTCTAAAAAAATACTAAGACTTCTCAACACTTTCTTTGTTTACTAATTTTACTTGATGTTTTTTCTTCACAATATAATCTTTATCGTTTCATTACACGAAATAAAAACTAAATCGCATGCGTTATTGATTTTTGATTGATTTGTGTTTTGTTTTTTTTTGTTTGTTTGTTATCTTATTTTTTGTTTGTTTTTATATGTAACTTAGAAAAGAAACTTAAGTGTCTGGCTTAATGAGTAGAAATAAAATTGGTTATACAATAAGGCTACGCTTTCATTAATCATTAATTAATCAGTTACTCCTCTAAAAATTCTGTACGAACGCGCGCAGGCGCAGGATTCGCAAGGCCGGCGGATCCAACAACAACTGGATATAGCAACTTGACTTGAATATATATATAGGGATATATTTTCGTTTACATATTTTTTTTCATGATTTATTCTTCTTGATTTAATGCCGCCGAAAAAAGATGTTTAAAAACAACATTTAAAAGGTGGAGAATACACTAGAAATTTGTCGCATAGATTTGCATAGAATTTTTGTCTCATTCTTGAACATAAACAAAATTTGTATTTCTCTGGTTCGTATGAAAAAAAAATGCAAAAAGGTTTGAAATTTGTGCGCTGCTGTGTTGGGTCGCGACATTGGCTTCCGATGAGGCAGAAAGTGATGATGAGGGAGCGATGATGATGATGGTCTTCTTCTCTGTGGCGATGGGGCCTTAGAACTCAAAGTTGAACGAATTTCCACGGCCACCGCCGGCGCCGCCGCCGTTGAATTGAAAGAACGAGCGGAACATTTGATTCGGATCGAAGTCGGCTGAAGAAATAAAAGTAATTATTAATAATTTCTTTTATAAAATATAATCCTATGTTAATTCTCACCCTGCTCCTGTTCCTCAATGTCCTGACCGCTGTCGTAGCGCGCCTTTTTGCGAGCATCCGAGAGAATGGCGTACGCCTCGCCCACCTCCTTGAACTTCAGTTCCTCCTCCTTGCGCTCCTCGGCACTGCTGTTGGCATGCCGATCGGGATGATGGACCAGCGCCTTCTTGCGATAGGCCTTCTTGATCTCATCATCGGTTGCACTGCGCCCGATGCCCAGTATCTTGTAGTAGTCCTTTCGCTTCGACTTCTTTAGTGCAAACTTGGCCTCGCGCAGCAGTCGCTTAATCTCCGGCGTCTTCTCCAGCTGCAGCGCCGTCTCATAGTCGGCCACCGACTCCTCGAACTTCTCCAGATCATTGTAGCAGCGGGCGCGCAACAGCAGGGCCTTCAGATACTGGTTATTCAGCTCCAGCACTCGATTGCAATCGGCCACAGCCTCGCGCTGATTGCCGATACGTGTGTTGACCAGCGCCCGATTGTAGAGCAGCTTCGAGTTGATGTCCTTGTTGTGCTCGTCGATCTTCAGGGCGTCCGTGTAGATGACATGCGCCTCGCGATACCGGCCCGATTTGAACAGCATGTTGCCGTTCTCCTTCATCTCCTTGAGCTGCTTGCACTTGCTGCGCATCTGCTTGGACTTGTAGTGATCGGGATCGAGGGTCAGGGCGCGCTCGAAGTGCAGGATGCCCTTCTCCAGGTTGTCCGTGTAGTAGAGGCACAGTCCCCGCACGTAAATCGCATCCGCCGATGTGGTGTCCAGCTTCATTACCCCGACGGCAATGTCCAAGGCCTCGTCACAGCGGCCCAAATAGGCAAGGCATTCGGCCTTGAGCAGGCGGTATCTGGACAATTTGATTGGAAATTGGAGTTTTAATATAATACATATTTTTATGGGGGTTTCGAAATCACTTTTAAGTGTCTAAAAGTAGGCAGTGAATAAAAGTGAAAAGTAGTATAATTTTTCCAAATGTATATATATATTTTTAGTCGTTTTCCTGAATGAAATCATTGCACTTTTGAGTTTAAAATATAATGTTGCATACTTTTAGACACCTTTTTTGATTATCTGAAAAGTGATTTTAAAAACCCTGCGATTTTGTGGCACCCCCTATTTTATATTAGAATTTTTCAAAATGTATACATATTTTTTTTTAGATTTTTATCTCAAGCCCCTCTGGGTAATTTTGGCTACTTGCCGTTTTTTAAGGATACACTTATATATTAGTGTGGGATTTAATATCTCACCTCAGGCAAGCGGGTGCCAATTTCAGGGCGCTGTCCAGGTAAAAGACCACATTGCGATAGGCTTTTGTATCGTAGTTCGTCTGGATGGTGGCCTCCAGTTGGCGCAACTTCTGCGAAGCCGTCTGTTCGCCAGCCACAGCAGTGCTCTGCGAATTCAGCTCGGCGACCATTTTGACCGCCTGTTCGGTGCCAATGATGTCGCCCAGGGCCAGACAGCACTTGGCCACCCGGACGTAGGCCTTCTCGAAGCCCGGATCGATGCGGATGGCGTGGCGGGCGTCTGTGAGGGCGCTATTATAGTTGAGCAGCATCATGTAGCAGGCGGCACGATTGCCGTAATAGGCCGCCGAGTCCGGACACAACGAGATGGCGTCTGTGTAGAGCTTGAGCGCATTCTGATAGTTCTGCGCCTTGTATTGGTCGTTGCCCAGTTTCTTCTTCTCTTCGGCGATGCTGCAAGAGGGAAAAACAATTTTCTTGGTCAATCCTTGAGGGCTTAGCTCACATTGCACACAAAAGGATCTACGTCCTTTGCATAGTCTACATAATTTGAATTTTTAATTTCATGTCGTCAACCGTGGAGGCGAAGTAAATGCCGCGGGCCAACAAGAAAAATATACAAAACGACCGGTATAAAATGGCACAAACGAAAAGCAACAGGAAGTAATCCGCTTGCTGTTTCACCAGACGTCTTTTCAAAATGCACAGTGACACGAAAATTGGGGGAAAAGTCAAGCGGAAAATGCATGCACTCATAGAAATTTTTACCTAAATACTAGAAAAGTCGCCCTAAAACCGCGGTCGCCCTAAAGCTACGAAAAATTTTCTTATTATACGGGTGGCTAGCCCTAAATATACGAAAAATCGCCATGGAAAATATTTTTTAGGGTTAGTTTTTCCAAAAAGGCCAATTTGCCCTGTTTTTTAGGGCGAAATTTTATGACGCAATAAATGGATACATACATGTAAAACATGTTATGTACATGTGTGTCAAGACAAGTGAGTAAGAATGGGTAGCCCAGCGGTCTAAGCACTCGCACTTTCAGCTTTGCTGTTTGAAAATACAGGTCGTGGGTTCGAATCCTGTGTGAGTCAACACTTTTTTTTTTTTATTACAGTTTTTTTTTTATTACAGTTTTTATTACTAATTAAGTTTTTTCGTCCGCGTGTTAAATTTAAAGTAGTCTTAAAAACCTAAATAGATATGGAAATTCTGAGTTTAAAGACTAATTTATGTTAAGCATGCGAGGAAACGGCCCGAAGTATCCCAGTCACCAGCAAAAAATACAATTTTTTGTTTGTATAACTTAGACCGCAAGAAAATAAGATGTGTACAGGGTTTGTACGTTGCATAGCGCGATGGGACTGTGGTGCAGCGCTAGACCGTTAGACTCCAACTCGAGAGGCCGTGGGTTCGAACCCTCGTAGAGACACCTAATGTTTTTCTCAAGTAAGTTGTTTTTTCTCCTTATATATATCTCCTTAATTCGATTACAAAGATGATTTTTCAGTTATAACCGGCGGTTATACAAGTCTGCTGCCTCCTGCCCCCAACAGCATCGTCCGGTATAGCCGACAATTCAAGAAACAAATTATCTGAAACGATGTTCGTGTCTGTGTGTGTGTATGTGTTGAGTCCAGTTCCCAGGAAATATCAACACACACACCCCCCCCCCATCATCGAAAAATTAATTGATTTTTTTTGCTTTTTTTTGGTATTATTTTTATGGCGATTCGCCCTAGATTTGTTGCCTAGTCGCCATTGACCCCCGTTTTAGGGCGATTTTCCCTGTTTTTAGGGCGATTTTACCGGAAAATTTCTATGAGTGTGGTTATTTAATGTAGTATTAAAAGAATAAATTGTATTTAATTAGGGTCTGTCCATATATTACGTAATCACCTAGGGGGGGGAGGGGGTCAACCAAATGATTACTCCAGTGCAAAAAATTTTTTATTTGTATGAAGAAATGATTACGTGGGGGGGGAGGGGGTCAAAAATCACCAAAATTGTGATTACGTAATATATGGACAGCCCCTTAGGTAATTAAATGATCTATATTGAATCCTTAATTTGTAGTATTTTGGAACTGCCTAAATAATTGAATGCATTTTATTTATGGTATGGTTTCTCCTTTTTTACAAAAAAAATTATATATTTTTTTTAAATTTAAGTCCATATATCACAATAGATTAACTATTTTGACACTGGATTAGTCACATAACCGGTTTGGTTTGATTTACGATCCAGCATTTATTTAAAAGATAAGAATGAAAAACAATTTTCATTTGGTAAAAACCAAACACTTTTCCCGCAATAAATAATTATGCTCGTTAGTCTGCCTCCGATCAATTTCCACTCCCATTCACCCGGCTTCCATCCCACTTTTAACCCACTGTCGCCCCACAAATCCCCGACTCCGCTTTTTTGCATTTGAAGGAAGTGCAACAACCTGCGCCAAGCTCAAATGGGCCAAGAAATTATGGCATCACAATGGCCGCCAATAGGGCGACACTAATGCGGACGCCAAAGAATCCCGAAAGCCAAAGAAATTCCTATCCCTATTTCCCCCCACTACGAACAGCAAAACCCACTTGGAGTTGTGCCAGGCAGGGTGTTTTCACTGTACTAAGAGAGCATTGTCGCCAGTATTACGGGGGCATAAGTGCTTTATGGCTGGCTGTCGGTTGTTGATATTCTCGATTTTCACTGGGTCTGCTCTTGTTATTTATTTGCTTGTGATTTCGGTTTCCTTTTTGCCTATTTATTTTTTGCTTCTGTGTGCCATTAAAAATACATTGGGATATTACAAATATCAAGGGGGTATGCCCCTCCCTCTATGGGAACTGCATAGTAACAACAAGAGAGAACGCTATAGTCGGGTGCCCCGACTATCAGATACCCGTTACTCAGCTAAAGGGAGTGCGAAAGAGATGGAGAAAAACTTTGATCCGCCGTAACTTTTTAACGAATGGTCCGATTTAAAAAATTTCTTCTACATTTCGATAGGTATTGATAAACACAATAAAACTGCATTTTTACTTTTCCAAAATATTGAAATTTTTAAAATCGTATATATGCGATTGTGGGCGTTAGAGGGGGCGTGGCACCCTTTTGAAACAAACTTGCGCTGCGTAGGAACTCCTAGAATCTGCATGCAAAATGTCAATCTTCTAGCTTTTATAGTTTCCGAGATCTCAGCGTTCATACGGACAGACGGACAGACAGACAGACAGACAGACAGACAGCCAGACAGACAGACAGACAGACGGACAGACGGACAGACGGACATGGCTAGATCGACTCGGCTAGTGATCCTGATCAAGAATATATATACTTTATGGGGTCGGAAACGCTTCCTTCTACCTGTTACATACTTTTGCACGAATACAATATACCCTTTTACTCTACGAGTAACGGGTATAAAAACGGTTGGTTTAGGTATGTCTATTCAATTTCGGAAGACCTACTTCAATAGCAATTATTTATTTTTACAGGCTTCCAATTGAGTTTTTCTTTTATTTAAAAATGTATGTAAAAAAAGTTTTATATTAATTTAAAAAGCTTTAGTACTTAATCTTCAATTTATTATTTCACCAGCCTTATTTTGATTGGAACTTGTATTAATTTATATTAATTTAATAATCTTTCATTTCCATTAAATTTATAAAACTTAAATTAAAATATTTTTTTAAATTTTACTAAAGCCTATTTATTTTTTCCTTTCTTTCTTTTGATTGGAACTTGTAAAACGATGATTACAAAAAATGTGTGTGAATTGCCTGCGAATAAGATACGGCGGGCAAACAAAAGATGTTAATTACTACTAAAAAAAAAGAAGAATGATTTTCATTGCTCAGAATTTTTTTTCTTGTCTCTCCAGCAGACAAATAGAGAAAGGGCGGCAAGTGGGTGGTTTTGGGTTCGTTTTTTTATTTTTTCAAGTGCTCAGCACAAAACTTTTAATTGCTGCCATAACTTGCCAAAGCGGTCGCGGCCCGAACCGCATAAATGGGGCCAAAAAGGGGGTTTCGGATATCTTAGACGGAACGCGAATGGGGCGGCAGGCAACACTCCAGTCAACGGCAGCAGTTTGCATAACAATTAGAGAAACCCATAAAAGTCAAAAAATCGCTCTCGCTTGATTGGGCAACATTTTAGAAAGCCATTTGTTAGGGCCTCCGTTTTCCTCGCGAATTTTCCCCACCCCAAAAAAGTAGGCAACGCGGTTTGAATTTGCAATTCAACTTCAATAAAATACAAAAAAGACAAGACGTGCGGAAAACTTCAGCAGACATTATCTGAAATGCAAAAAAAAAAAAAAAAAAAAAATTGCAACAAAAGTAAAGAGCTGATTTAAATTAAGTAGTGGGGAAGGAAAAGGTGGGGAAATGGCTGGCACGCCCAAAAACATGAAAGCCCGGGCTAGATAAATAAAGCTCAAAAGGGAACCGCCACCTGAATGGCAGGAAAAACAGGTAACAAAAAATGGTAAACGGAAAGCGAACCAAAAAGAACCAACAAGCTGAAAGCAGAAGAATGAATGCAAAGCATGCAATGCAAATTTAAGCATGTATAGATTACATTTGCGGTCAGAATAGTAGCCCTCTACAAATCAAAGCTTCCCAGAGGGAGCTAGCTTTTGTTCCAATATTTATTATCATTGGTTTTAACACACAGCTTTTCAAAAGGGCTTCCTATCTTTATGTTTTCATTATTTATTATGTTTATATGCTATCAAAACTATCGTTCTATAAAAACGTGGGTTAACGTAGGTTTAATAATTTAATTTTTAGTATTTTAAAAATTGCATCCATAGCTTTTAATATTTTCTTCTTCATATCTCATCACAAAGTTAATATTAATAAGGCAGTTCATCTACCAATAATTAAGATAGCAAAAAATATGTATTTTACAAAATTCAGTAAAAAAAATAGTTTTCTAAAATTTTGAAAAACTCTCTTAGTTTTTAATTTTTTTTTTTCTCATAACTAGTTCTTGTTAATGAGCAGTAAACTCGTATTAAAAATGTTATTACCTACATTATAATTTAATGTTGCCGCCGTTGGTGCTAAAATCTTGACCCCCGTTGTGTGTACGTGTTGGTCTGCATGTGTAAATGCCTGCAGGTCACAGTAAAGTTCAATGCGCGATAAGCGAAGTCAATGGTAGAAGAACATTCGAGGAATGTTACGAGCGTAGTGGGCTAGTGTGAGTTGGTCGGAATAATCATTCCCTCATGAATATGCATAGTTCGTAGAGCAAAAGGGGAAAAAGGGGGTGAAAAAGAGTGGGGGCTTGTGATGACAAAACTTTTCGCACAGCCAACGAAGGAAACTTGGACGTCGTGTGACATGTGCTGCAAGAATCATGCAAAGTAGATTGTCAGGGTGTCAAATCTATCAGTTAACTGAAGCGATATCTGCGACGCACAATTGCTACAGTGGGACCACTT